CAAATCCTGGGGTGTACCAACTAAGTCCGGGTGTGCAAGATCTCAGGTCCGGGCGAAGGCGGCGCGCGAACTCCTGGTTGAACGGAGGCGGGTACAGTTGCCATAAAAATATATCCTCCAAAGATGAACCAGACCTACCACAGTTGAATGTCTACATGAAATTATTTATTATACACCCAAGAATAAAACAATGGTGTTAATCCTGTTACACTTATGAAACCCTGAATGAAAAAGGCACATCCTTTCATTATATTTTTCAGTTTTTCAAGTAGTTTTTATAAATTTGATTTTCTGCAGTTTTGTTCAGGTTTTTTCTCCCAGGCCCAAAATTTGTGTGTGGTTTTATTTAGTTCTTTTGAAAGGAATCAGACTTGCAGTATTGGAGAAAAAGCCCCATAAAGTGAAGGTGTTGCAGCACCTAAGAGGAAGCACATTAGTAGCTGAGTAGGATCTGGTCCTTTTATGTTCAAGTTTATGCTAATCAAGAATTGATCAGTGTTTTGATAAATTTCAGTTTTTGCTTTTTTGTCCTTTGCTAGTTTTGTCTATCAAAATTAAATATGATCCATAATAATGTAGATTGTAGGACTGCAAAGGACATTGGGTCAAATACATCCCCTTTTATGCCCAGCAATTATGTTCTAAATCTCATTCATAAATGAATCAAGTTCTGACATAACACCATGTGTCTCCCTACCCCTCCAAGTCCTTTTGAAAGGCTGTCCTACAACTTCATTATTTTGATGGTTGGAAACCCACTTATACGTGCATCCATTTGAAAGGAATGCATGATGCATGTATCTGAATGTCTATAGTGTCTTTCAAAATAAACATAAAGTATCTTTTTTTCTTTTTATTTCATTATTTTTCTCTTTTTAAAGTGTAGGAAAACCTACATTACTATACTATACTGCATGAGTGCATAAGGGTATGTATGTATGAAGAAATTATGGAAGGGAAAGCTAAAGAGAAGAAATAAATTGTGTGTGTTTAGTCTTTGACTTTTTCCCCCCTTAACTCTAGAAAGAGGTCAACTCCACAGTCTGGGTCACACTCCTGTGAAATCACCATGGTTCAGTGTGACAGGGCGCTTAGCACCCTGTCACATTCATCCCCATCTTGTTTTGCCCTCTGTGGCCTTTATCTCTGCCCCACCCAAGCTCCAGGCTCCTTGACCCTGTTCCTCTCACAGGCTCTTAAATCTCTGTTCTTCTTGGGTTCTGGGCCCCCTGGCCCCAAGCTCTGCCCTGCTTGGGCCACACTAGTCTCCCCAGCCCCCTTCTGGTCAGGTGACTCTAATTGGCCCCTGCCAGACCTGGAGGATGCTACTCACATAGCCTCTTCTCCTCTGAAAGTGACAGGTGCGCTAAGCACCTGGTCATATACCCTTTTGGCTCCCTGTCCCTGTTGACACTCACTCCTCCTGGGCTACAGACCTCTGGGTTCTCTGGCCCTGCTGACACCTGCTCACTCCTGAAAAAACTCTGGGACCTCTGGTCCCTCTCTCCCTTCAAGGCTAGCTAGGACCCTCCTTGCCTGCCCCTAATTTCCTTCACAAGCCACCAGAGTTGCCTACCCCCAGCTCAGATGTTACCCAGCAGTCATGCTGCAACCCTGCAGCCCACAAGCTTCTCTCTCCATGGCTCTCAGGGCTAGAATGCCTGACCAGCTCAGGCCCTGGGGTTATATGCTTCAAGCTCAGCCTCCTCATCAGGTGACTCTCTGATTGGCCCCTGACACACCTGCAGGCTGCTACTCATGCAGTCTCTTCCCTTTTAAAGTGACAGGTACACTAAGCACCCCATCACACCCTGATTCAAAGAACTTCCATATTAATTAACATTTCCATTAATCTAAGGGAATGTAACTTTTGGAGTAACAATCCAGATAGTTAGGTTCAACTCCATAGTAAACACTGATCTAGGAAAGTGTGGGTTCCTTACTGAATGGGGGAGGTAACCTAGTGACACATGATGTGGAAAAAGCTGAAGTGCTCAATGCCTTTTTTTACCTGTCTTCATAGGCAAGGTCATCTCCCTGACTATTTTACCAGGCAGACAGTTCAGGGAGGAGTTGAGCAGCCAACAGTGGAAAAATAACAGGTTAGGAACTATTTAAAAAAGCTGGATGTGTACAAGTCCATGGGGCAGATGCGATGTACCCGAGGGTGCTGAGGGAGTTGGCTGATGTGACTGCAGAGCAGTTAGCCATTAGCTTTGAAAACTTGTGGCAATTGGGAGAGGTCCTGGACAATTGGAAAAAGGGCAAATACAGTTCCCATCTTTAAGAAAGGGAAGAAGGATGATCTAGGGAACTAGACCAGCCAGCCTCACTTCAGTACCTGGAAAAATCATGGAGCAGATCCTCAAGACATCCATTTCTAAGCAATTGGAGAAGAAGGTGATTAGGAGCAGTCAGCATGGACTGACCAAGGGCAAGTCATGCCTGACCAACCTGATTGCTTTCTATGAGATGACTAGTTCTGTGGATGTGGGGAGAGCAGTGGACATGATATATCTTGACTTAAACAAGGCTTTTGCTACAGTGTCCCACAACATTCTCACAAGCAAGATAAGAAAGTACAGGTTGGATGAATAGACTGTAAGGAGGATAGAAAACTGGCTGAATTGTCAGTCTGAATGGGTAGCAATCAATGGCTCAATGTCTAGTTGTCAGCTGGTATCAAGTGGAGTGCCCCAGGGGCTGGTCCTGGAGCCTGTCTTGTTCAATATCTTCATCAACAATCTGGAAGATGGGATGGAGTGCACCCTCAGCAAGTCTGCAGATGACACCAAGGTGGGGGGAGTAGTAGATATGCTGGAGGGTAGGGCTAGGATTCAGAGAGACCTCAACAAACTGGAGGATTGGACAAAAAGAAATCTCCTGAACTTCAATAAGGAGAAGTCTTCCAGCCTAAGTGCAGGACTTTGTAATTTCATACACCAATACAGGCTGCGGACTAAATGGATAAGCAACAGCTCTGTAGAGAAGGATGTTGGGGTTACAGTGGACAATAAGCTCTATATGAGCCAACAGTATGTCCTTGTTGTGAAGAAGGCAAACGCTATACTGGGCTGCCTTAGTAGAAATGCTACCAGCAGATCGAGGGAAGTGATTATTTCCCTCTATTTGGCACTGATGATGCTACATCTGGAGTATTGTGTCCAGTTTTGTGTAGACAAATTGGAGAGTGTCCTGAGGAGGGCAAGGGAGCTAGGGAACAGGACTTCTGAGGACAGGCCTAGGAAACTGGGCTTATTTAATTTGGAGAAGAGAAGACTGAGAGGTGATTTAATAACAGCCTTCAACTACCTGAAGGGTGGTTTCAAAATAGGATGAAGCTAGATTGTTCTCAGTGGTGACAGATGACAGAACAAGGAGCATTGGTCTCAAGTTGAAGCAAGGGAAGTTTAGGTTAGATATTAGGAAAAACGAATTCTCAATAGGAAGGTAGTAAAGCACTGGAATAGGTTACCCAGAGAGGTTGTGGCATCTCCATCCTTGGCGGTTTTTAGGACCCAGCTAGACAAAGCTTTGGCTTGGGTGATATATTTGGGCAGAGTCCTGCTTTGAGAAGGGGGTTGGATTAGATGATCTCCTGTGGTCCCTTCCAACCTTAATATTCTGTGATGTATATGACTGTATGCCTGAGACTTGAATCACAAAAGTTAAGTTACTCTTATTTTAGCAGTTGCCATTCCAAGAAAAAGTAAACATGGTGGGTTGACTAAACTTACATGTTGCATTTTTATATATTAATATGGAATTTCAGTGTCTCACACTTTTGGTCTTGTATTTTTCTACAAGCTCTAAATATAAAAACAATTTCTTTAGAGAGAATTTTTTAATTAAGTCTTTAAATACAGAGTCAACATTTAAAGGAACTCTAAACCTTCTGTCTGTGAAAACACCAATTTTCAAGAGCAGTTGTGGGATTTCTGCATTTGGAAACACAGACTTCTTGCAGACATTTAAAAAAAACCCCAAAAGTGGTGCTTTAACTTTAAACTCCACATGCTCCCATGCTGAGCCAGCACATGCCCAGAAGAGGCAGTGCATTAGTTGGACCCAGCTGGCCTGATGCCTGTATAGATCAGGCGTTTTAGTGGGGCTTATTTGGTGCTTTAATCTAATAGGTGATTGACTCAGCTATTAGATAAAAGAGCCCAATCTATACAGACACTGCACAGTGTCTACGAGCTCTAAAATGTAGAGCCAGGTTGAAGTAATGCATGCTGCTGCTTTTGGTAAAGTGCCTTTTTTTTTTTTTTTTTTTTTTAAGCGTCTGCATGCAGTCATAGGTATCAATATTTGCTGGTACAATTTAAGAATGCCCCATGCTAAAAAGTCCAATGTTTCCAAAACATTTTCAGCTTACTAATATATATTAGACTTGCATAACTTCTTGCTAACCTGCATAACTGTATCAAATATCCCAGCTCAGACACTTATCATTTGCCTTATATGCAGTTTTGCTTATTAGAGGAAGTTTTAATAAAAGAGGAAATCCTTGTTCAGATGCTAAGATTACATATGTTTATAGATCCTTTAACTTTCTTTGTGCCATAACAGTTTTATTGTCTGGACAACCAATAGAGATTAGCAGATAGGAACATAGTTTTTTTGTTTTGAAAGACAGAGGAAGTGAACAGAAGGAGAAAAAATTAGAGGAAGATTTTAACTATGAAGAAGTAAAAACTGTCCCTCATCCTATCCTGTATGTAGAAAAACATAATATTCTACAGTATGTGTTTCTGTCTGAGACATGATGACATATGGTACTTTACCTAACAGTGAAATCCTCTGAAAAGGCCACCTACCAGTAGGCTATGATTGACTCTGCAAGCCATTATAGTAAGACTTTTGTGACATCCATGTTGATATTATGTTTTTCTACATACAGCATAGGATAAGGGACCTACTTCTTCATAGCTAAAATATTACTTGCACTTGCATATAAATTCCAGCAATTCAGATAGAAACCTGAATGAATACAGTACCTTAACCTGAAGTTTTGCTTCTTGGATTCGACCTTTCCAAGATGCTGTAAATTTAAGGCTGTCCACTGAGAAGCCCATTACCCTAAAAGAAAAACAGACGTACACTCAATGTTATAGAGATATAACAATAAGAAATTCAAATAAAAACCCAGGAATGAATTAACACAAATTAAGAATTGAATTCACATTTACAAAACTAAACATTTTTTCAGCACTGTTGCAAAAATAGCATCACTATTTTATATGGTTGCTAAACTAAGAATTTGGTTTTTTACTGAGAGCTGCAAAAATTTTACTGACAACCAAACTTTTTTTACTAACATATGCTTTTCATAATATAAATAATATAACCATTCTGCCATACCCAGGAGAGCAATAACAAGGGCCATGTTCAAATTCAGGGGTTTAACAACTTGTAACACTGTATTACTTGACTGCAGCGATTGGTTTTACACACTGCTACTCCCACTTCAGAGTTCCCCTACTCACTCCCACACCCTGATACCCGCAAATACAGACCTCACTGTGCTGCCCACCACTCAAACCTTATCCTACTCGGGCTCTGCTCCTCCTGTCCTAACATGGATCCCTTCCTGCTGCCTTTCTTCTCTTCTGCCCCTCCAGCTGCATCCTGGCTGAACTGACCCCCTCCCAGCCCCACCCACTGCCTCAGACTTCCAAGAACTGTACAGACCTGTTATCTTTGAGGGGAACAGCCATAATAGGCAAGTGATGGCCAGGATGCAGTGGCAGCATGAGGCCTTGGGGTAGGAAGGAGGCTATGGAGGTTTCCATGGGCCACAAAGCCCTGAGGGAGAGCTTCCTCAGGGCACTGAGCTGCATTCTCACTCAGACAGAAGCTGGTGCTGCTCTCCTTTGTCTCTTCTTCAACATTTACATCCAAATCTTCAACCAAGTTCATGGTTTCTTAGGATAGCTCCATTTTTTTTACAAACTTTATGGACTTTTTATTTATGTATGGTCTGTAAGTTTATGGATAGTTGGCAACTCTGCTATTTTATCACAGTAAAATAATAATAATAAAAATGAATCGAATGACCCTATTTTTACCTAATCTGGACAATGAAGGTACAATGCTAGAATGTAAATGCAACGGAGAATTGCACTCAAATATGCATAAATAGATGGCTGCATTGTTCCTACCTTGCAGTCTCTTGGCGTAAAGCATTAAGAAATGTATCAGGATGGAAGAGCTCTGAGAGGTCCAAGGTGTCTGACAGGAGTGTCTGTTTTTCTGCTTTATCTACCCAATTCTAAAAGAGAATTATATTGCATATTAATAAGGTGAACAATTCATTCAGTCACTTATTGCTTGATATTCTAGAAGTTTGCATTAATGCACAGATTTTGGCTTTGGTTGCTAATGCCAAAAGTACTAACCAACATATACTATGTTTTTGAAGAGGAATATTTATCCTTATTTTGTAATGACAACCAAAAATAAGTAAGACCAAGCTGCATTTAACATTTTTAACACAATATTTTATTTTTATAAGTGCACAAGACTAACCTCTTTCAAACATGCTAAAAAACCTTCATGAGTTATACAGTGAAACTAGTTTAATAATTCAACTCCTTCCACACCAATGCTGCATTTTCAAGTATGTTCTCTAGCATTTCTACTACACTGTTATGAAACTGAATTTTCTAAAACTATTCAATAGAGCTAAGGATTTTTGTGGGTGATATCTTTTACTGGACCAATTGCATGGTTGGGATAGACTTAGACAAGTTTTTTGGGTATCATAATCCCAGACCAAAGGAAAGATACTGTTATATGCAAAAGCTTGTCTAAATCTATCCCAACTGGTTCAATAAAAGATATCACACATAAAAGCTCTTGCCTCTCTCATTTCCTGAACTGTCACAGCTACACCATTACTCCATCACTACCAAAACTATTAAACTGTTGCCATGTGGTGAGGTGTCACATAAAAATATTAATGGCAGTACTGCTAGACCTTTATTTAGTGTGAACAAATTAGTGAATTCCTTTCAAGTATATTTTATTATCATTTCTTCTGTAGATATTACATAGTTGGAATGAGACAATAATGGAGAAGGCCCCATTGGTTTTCCATCCCCTCCCTTCTCTAGATCACAGGTTTATTCTGTATCACATCATTTCAAATCTAGTCCATTTATAGTACGTCTAGTAACTAAGAATGGCTTTCCCCTGATTGGCATATAATAAAATGTAGCAGGGGGCAAGGTCCCCTGTCACTTTAAGAGGGGACAGCAGCTGGCTGCTGCAGTGTTTGTGTTAAATTTTGACTGGGGTTGGGAGCCCAGGCCACGAGATAGGGGCCAGAGGCCCAGAGCATGCAAGTGTAAGATGGGGCTGAGGACCAGAAGCCAAAGTAAGGCTTTTGGCCCCTCAGGGGCTCCGGGCTGAGGAGCCAGAATAAAAGGGCCAAAAACAAAGGTTTGGTGTCCAAAGGCCAAAAGCTGCATTGGGGCCAGAAGGCCTCCTCCAAATAAACATGGAGTAACATCTGAGAGATGTGGGCATGGGTATAGGGGAGGATGGAGGCCACGTATATAGCTCAAAAGGCAACTGGTGTCCTAAGGTACTGATAGGACCAAAGGGTCACAACTTAGTGTCTGAGGGGCAAGACTGAGGTCAGCCAAGTACAAGATGTACCAGATGCCCAAAGTGAACAAGGGCTCACTTGGGACCCTGGGGCAGCCTCCCTTAACATCAGAATAGTCCCATCAAGACATGACAGGCAAGGGCAAGACAGGGTATCCTGAGGAGCTGGAGCGGGGGACAGGAGTTACATGGCCACTAGGGAGTGTCACAGCAGCCTCTGGGACATGGTCCTGCTACACAAGGGTACTGAATCCTGTATGCAATACTCACTACTCTTTTCCAGGATTCTTGAACTCCAGAATGATACAACTGTAAACTTATTTTGTTCATATGTACTCCAAAACCCATTTGTTTCAATGATACTCTGTTGCTGTGACTACAGCTAATAAGGTGTTGCAAAGATTTCTTAGGCTGTGTTTGTCTGAAACACACATTCACATAATTATGGCTACAAATCTGTTTTGTTTTGTTTACTCTTAGTAAGTGACTGGTTTCAAAACTAAAGGGGAGAGAAGCCTGGCCTCAGCTGTACTCATGAAATGCACATTGATCTCACCCCAGTCTTAACTGCAGAAATGAGGCTTGTGTTTTTGAGCTGCAAGAGCTCAGCTTCCCACTCACACACAGTCTTTGCAGTTAGGGAATATGAAGCAGCCCATGTGTCTGACTTTTCAATCTTTGTAACAGTATTTTTCATTATTAATTACATATAACTGCTGACATGCCTCCTACTCCCCCTCTCTATCATTAAAAATGGTGTCTTCAGTATTAAAAAGCAAGGATTGTTAATTATTCTTTTAACATCTTATTTTAGGCCAACATCTATTTGACATCTTACTTCCACTTTAATTCGTCACTGAAAGCGTGCAAGGCCCTTGCTCATATACAGAAAATATATTTAAAAATAAAATAAAGGAAGCTCAGTAGATAAAAGCCAGGCAGACTTGAAACTCCTCAAGGTGAGCCAGACACAGCACTTACATAGCGCACATCCAGGGAAAGTGTTTTAACCCCTAGGGTATTACATAAAAATGGACAACAGCACTACTTCCTCTGAAAGTTGAATCTAAAGGACAAGGGTGAATCAGCTATTTGTACCTACCAGGGACCTCTTAGGCTCTTAAGTCTGGGAGTGAATTTTGAACTGTGACTCCCACTCTCACATATATGTTAAAATCCAGAAAATGCAGGATTTCATATGAGAGATACGCAAAGCTCTTGGTTCAGAGGCAGTACCTTTTATCTGACCAACTAAATAGTAACAAAAAAAATCCTTTCTTTGCAAGCTTTTGGGTGCGCACACCCTTCATCAGGCTGAGGAGAAAGATTGTAAAAGTCCTTCTAGGCAGAAAATGAAAAAGACAACCTAATCTGCACATCACAGAGAACACTCTCACAAAACGACTCTCAGATTCTCAGGGGAATACACTTCCAGCCTCTATCTCCCTGTGTAAAATTAAGTTTATTTTCTATCTATGAGGACTCTTGAAAGAGATATGGAACAAGACATTTTCCACAGACTGGACTGTGTAAAGTATTGCCTAAACCCAGACTACAGATTCTTATCCCATTACCCGGATTAGCTTTTATAATGCTCATATCCCTCAGTGGTTAACCGTTTTGCTTTTCTCTCTTCTACCTATCTTGCCTTTCTTTCCAAGCAGTGCTGTTTCCTTTTTCCTCCACCCTTCCCTGCCCTTTTATTCTAATCACTGCTTTCTAGTTAGAAGCTCTGCTTCTTGCAGTCCCTTCATAGCATCTGATGAAGCAAGCTGATTCTTACAAAAGTTAATGCATACTTATGCAAATCTACCCTGCCTTCTGTCTGACTTCAGACTAACATGGCTAAATACATCTGTCTTATCTCTGTAAGTCATCACAACGCATATATTTGTGCACAGAAAAGTAAATGTCTAACTCTACATCAAAATTCTGGGCAAACTGAAATTCCATACATTATTATCATATAGAGAGGATGACAAGTTTTATTTATTGATAAGTACCATCTATTAAAGATATTAATCTATTCTAGATTCCAAGAAATAAAGAACTGTGAAGTTATACAGCTTTAATAATTACAGAGGGTACCCTGCAAAAACCCACATCTTGTTGAAAAAGCCAACTGTACCAATTCCTTTTAACTGTTTCCATAAAATTATCTTAGACAATCACCTAAAATTCATTTAATCAATTTTAATTTTTTCTTTGCCAAAAAAAACCATCATATTTTTATCGCACAGAAACATTTGATCACTGACCTTTAAATCTGTCACAACATAGATTATGAGCCTTTACCCAAACAATCATTACTAAGTTACGGTTTTTGCTTTCCATTTTCATTAGCTAAACATATACAGTTAATTGTCCTTGTCTACACAATTCTATTAATGACTCTAAATAACAACAAACCCTTTTATTGTGCAGCAATAATTGTGGATCCATATTAAAAGGATACACTTTTATAAATTTAGTATAATACAAGCAGTCACACAATTGTTTCGATTTTAATTAAATACATTAATTTATTACAAGTTTCAAATAAACTTTTAATTTAACTGTTAACAAGAAAAAATGTCAGGAATAAAGATGCATAAGTTCACTCTAATTTTAAAGGCCAATATGGATGACAATCAGAATTCATTCCATTAATACATGAATTAGTCTAATTAGGTAAAGTTACAAAATTCACTATACCAGAAAGTTTTCATTAGGTCATAAGAGTAAAGTTATAATTACTACCTGTAACAGTATGAATTAAGGAGATCCTTATCCCGTGTTTCAATACTTTTAAATAATAAAGACTTTATTTAAATGTTTTATTCAGATTTAAATGTAAACTGCAAAGGTAGGAAAATATCACAAAAAAGTAATAAAAATATCTCTTAAGCAACAGATGTACATGACTTTTTGATATTCATTTTTATATCATCCTTCTCAGGAAGGAAATCATAGAGACAGTGAGATGTTATTGGCTCAACTGTCAATGCTTTACTGATGATGCTCAATTATATATCTCATTGACTACTACTAAATATATTTACTATCTCTTTTAAATGTCCTAATGTTTATGAGAGATCAGCATTTGAATCAAGAGTAGCTGGCTGTAGCTGAACCCTGGCAAGACTGAGGTGATACATCTTTAAATGGGGTATGTGAGAGTTCTAGTTAAAGCATAGATAATATTTAGTGTTAGAACAAAATTCCAGAGATTAGGTGAATCCAGAGCCTGATCATCATTATGGAATGATGCATAACTTCCCTCTTCAAAAATACTTTTCCACCAGAGCAATCACACAGCTTTGAATTTCCCCATCTACCAAATACTCTTCCCTAAAAAGATAAAAATAAAACTATATAACACAAACTCTCTGTAACTGTTGAAATGAGCACTCTTTACATCCTTTCTAAAATGATGTCAGATTTGTTATTGCTGAGGTGGAGCCAACATTTAGACTGTCAAGGAAAAAAGCCCACTTTAATTAATTTAGCATATGATGATTACAAATACAGTGTGAAAAACCACTTGGCAGGTATACCGGAAGAGATATGCAAAGCAATTCCTAGGAGAATGCATTTAAACTTTTCATTAATATGAGTTAACAAAACACTACTTTCCTTTTATTACAAAAGCAAGATTTTATTTTTTCTCAAAAATAAATC